TTATGTGTAGTAATGAGTTCAAAAAATAGTGTGTTCTCGCATCCTTAACATCTTGCACTTTCCCTATTTTCCCCTTTTTCACCATAGTCCACTGTTAATTCCGGGAAGAGATGAAAGGTTGAACTTCGAGGGAACTCGACTGCGTCGGTGCTGACACTATGGGAACACCTATGGCCGTGGCAGGGCTGAACTATGAATGAAACTACTCCATCCTATTGGTTTACTAGAACGGTAGTGTGTGACGGCGTGACTGGAGGGGTATTAAGCACACCGGCACATAGGCACATTAGCTTCTTTCTATTCAGCAGGCACTCTGGCTATGTTTGGAAGCTCCATCATCCTACCTGAAGTCGAGACGTGTGTCTTTCCCTGTCAGCGTTTCATCACGGAAGGTGATACCCATGGGATGTGCGTGTCATGCCTGGGGATGTTGCATGCCCAGGCAGCTCTCGAGGGGGCTGCCTGCGACCATTGCGAGGCCCTGCCCCTGAGGGTGCTCAGGTCTCGAGCGTCTCTTTTTCTAGAGGATGGTCGGATGCGCTCCCCCCGTGGCACAGGCCCCGCGGTTGCTGAGGCGTCGTGGCGGCTCCGATCCTGGGGATCGCAACGCGAGATTGCTGAGGGTGCCGTAACAGCTGAGGCCTTTTTCCGGTCCTCGTCCGCGGAATCCTCCTCCCCTCGTCCCCGATCGGGAGCCCGTTTCTCGGTTTCTCCCACTCGAGGGGTGAGTCCGGAGAGGCTTGCACGATCTGGCTCTGAGGAGCTAGATCTGCTTAGCGTGGAGAATGACTTTGGGGAAACGGAACGTCATCAGCCCTCGCCAGGATACGAGGAGTTGTTAGAAGTGGTGACGCGGGCTGTGGCCAAGCTGCACATTGATTGGCCACAGGCGGTGCAGCAGCCGTCGGTGGGCAGCAAACTAGGCGAGCGGTTTCTGCAACACAGAGCGCCACCCCCACGTCGGCCCTTACCATTTTTTCCGGATCTACACAACTCGTTGTGCTCCATGATCTACACAAGTTGTGTAGATCGTGGAGCAAACCCTTCTCTGCATGGCTGTCTACGTCCCCCCGGCTGGACTACGGCAACGTGACGGAGATCAGACAGCACGGCTACGGAGCTACTCTTGCCCCCAGCCCCGCTAGGGCTGGATGCCATGGTGCAGACGTGGCCGAGGCCGCGTCTGTATGCGTTTCCTCCAGTCGCTCTGCTCCCGGGGGTTCTGGAGCGGGTCCGCCAGGACAGCGTCAGTCTACTACTAGTAGCCCCGTTTTGGCCAGCACGAGTGTGGTTCTCAGATTTAATATCGCTGCTCGAGGGCCCACCCTGGCAGGTCCCTCTAAGGAGAGACCTGCTGTCCCAGGCGGAGGGCTGGATCTTTCACCCACACCCCGCCCTGTGGCAGCTATGGGTCCGGCCCCTGAGGGGGCGCAGTTCCTAGAGGCGGGCTGACGACAGGAGCAGTCGAGACGCTGCTCAGCTCCAGAGCCCCGTCCACAAGAAGGATGTACGGCCTAAAGTGGAATGTGTTCACCACCTGGTGCAGAGAACGGGTGGTGGACCCAGTTACCTGCTTGGTAATTGTGATACTGGAGTTCCTCCAGCACCGTTTCTCCGCTGGCCTCTCCCCGTCCACGCTCAAAGTGTATGTGGCTGCCATTGCAGCATTCCACACCCCTCTGAGTGATGGGCCCTTGGGGAGGCTTCCACTGGTCGTGCGCTTCCTCCGTGGAGCCAGGAGGATGAGACCCGTGACTCATTCCAGGGTTCCCACCTGGGACCTGGCAGTGGTTCTCGAAGTGCTGGCTGAGGCCCTCTTCGAACCCCTGGAGTCGGCTGAGGCCAAGCACCTGACCCTTAAGATGACCTTTCTCCTCGCTATCACCTCTCTGAGGAGGGTGGGGGATCTCCAGGCACTTTCGATTTCTCCCCGATGCCTGGAGTTTGCCCCGGGGAGGGGCAGGGCCATCCTGTACCCTTGTCCAGGTTATGTCCCTAAGGTTCCGGGCAGACTGGCAGGGTCCACGGTGCTGCAGGTGTTTCATCCCCCACCTCATGTGACGGCGGAGGACGGGAGACATCATCTGCTCTGCCCTGTCAGAGCACTGAGTATTTACACTCTGAGATCTTCCCGGTGGAGGAAAGCAGACCAGTTGCTGGTGTGTTTCGGGTCCCCCAAGGCTGGGCTCCCCGCTTCTAAACACACCATCAGCAACTGGATCGTTCAGACTATTTCCCTGGCCTATCAGGTGCGCGGTTTGCCTTCACCTATGGCCGTAAGGGCACACTCTACTTGAGGCATGGCGGCTTCTAGGGCCCTCCTCGCAGGGGCGTCACGGTTTTATCCGGTTTTACAGTCTGGACCTTCCTTCTGCACCCAGCATCCGTGCGCTCTCCTCCTAGTCGTGCCGTCAGGTTCTTCCCCTAGAAGGGGAACGAGGCACTGCGTCGGTCCGCCACACCTCACCCCGCCTGAAGTGCCTTGCTTCATAGAAAGGGCTAATGTGTCCTATGTGTCGGCGTGCTTATATACCCCTCCGGTTACGCCGTCACACACTACCGTTCTAGTTACACCAATAGGATTGGAGTAGTTTCATTCATAGTTCAGCCCTGCCACGCCCAGAGGCGTTTCCATAGTGTCGTCACCGACGCAGTGTCTCGTTCCCCTTCTCGGGGAACAAGGGTTACATACGTAACCCGAGACATTTGTTGTCCACACAGGTACTGCCATGATGACTGACGCCTGCTCTGCTCCGCTCTGTCACTGTTGGGGAACTTCCAGTTTAGAGTGTACCCTCTAACCTCGTTTTGGTTTTCTAGATGGAGGCGCAGTGGAAATAAGTTGGAAATCTGACATTAGGGGGCGTTTTAGTTGAAATTTACGACTTGGAATTCCGGCTTCCCGTGTCAAATGGAACTAAACATAAAAACATGTTGTGGTATTACAGGTGGCTAGCGCAACCAGTGGAGACTTCAGGAAGTCACTGTACCTAGACAGAAAACAGTCTGTCACATAACCCACTGTAATATACAACATGTGAATTACGGGTGCTGGTTGGCAGATTTTGTTACCTTTGGCCTGAGCCAGGCTAGCCGTTTCCCCATGTTTTCAGGCTTAAAGCAAAGCTAAGCTAACTAGGCACCACCTGTAGATTCATCTTGAACGTAACAGCATGAGTGCTATCAGTCTTCTTATGTAACTTTCAGCAAGAAAGCAAATTCATTTATTTCCCCAAATTTGTAAGTATAGGGCCAGTGTTAAAATAAAAATATATAGTTAAAATAAATGAATGAATAAATGTTCATCAATTTTTTTTTATGTACATCTTGCCTGGACTGATGTTGGGTGATGATGTCTGGCTTACGCTTCACTCCGAAGGGGTCGAGGTCTGGGCTCTGTGCCGGAAAGTCAAGTTCTTCTACACTTAACTAAGGAACCCATGCCTGCTAAGACCTCCTTTTTTTTTTAATATGTATGTATAGGCTCACAGTAGACGACCTCTGACTGGTCTCCGTCCTCTGCAGTTGCACCAGCTGTGCAGCTTGTTGCATCAGAGGTGTTGGACCGACCCTCTACAGTGGTCCTCTGCTGAAGCGTGTGCATCACTGCGAGCAGCAGAGGAGAGGAATCCTCCCACCAGCTCGGCACGACTATCAGTACAGTGAAATGGAGAGCTGTTGCTACGGCAACCGTTTACATGAAAGGGATGCACCCCCCGATTCCCCTTTTATGGCTAAGTGACATAGATTCATATTGACAGGTAATGGAGAGAAATCCTCTTCCTGCGGCTTTTGGAGGTTGGAACACACACATTATTTTAATAACAGATGCACAATGCAGCACATTTGTATTCATCTTAGTTCTCAGGATATTGCACAGATATTTATAACACGGGTACTTGAAACCAGTTGAACTTTCTTCTGTATGTCTATGAATAGTTACTGAGAGGTGTGTGTGTGTGTGTGTGTGTGTGTGTGTGTCTGAGACAATCGGCACCAGGTGCAGCAGCAGTGTATGAGCAGCTCTGTTGTGTTGAATACAGCTTTGTTGTGGAGCTGTTGAATAGAGCTGTTAGTGACAGTCACAGTGCTGGTGAGGTAACCGCTGCACACTGCTGCTCTCTCTTCAAAGATGTGTGTGTGTGTGTGTGTGTATTTCTGAGTTTGCATTATTGTTGTTAAGGCGGTTTGTGGTTTTGGAGCTTTGAGATGAAAAACTAAATTCACAAAGGGTCTGTTGTTAAGCTTTATTTTAGGAGTTGTGTTCAATTGTGAGTCAAGTTAGTCCTGTACTGGGGACGGCATTTGGATATCCCCCCCTATCCACTTTTGGTTTGCATTTTTAGAGCTGTGTCGTTCAGTAGCTGAAGAAAATCCCTGTTAAATAGTTTCTTTATCTTCACTCACCTCACTCCAAATGTAAGAACATTCAACATGTGCACGATGAGGCTTTTCAGTGCCGTATTTTTTTTTAGCTTTATTTTATTCAAGTGTGACATGAAAGGTGAGACATCAAAGAAAATGAAATGTTAAACCAAAAGAAATGACAAATGAGAGGGTGAAAAGAAAAAAGGGTGGAGGGGGGGCATATTGATATTAAAAGAAAACAGTTGCTGGGGTTTGTATGCATAAAGGCATGCTGTTACATGCATGGAGGTGTGAGAGAGGCAGTTTCTGACAATATGCGAGACGAGCTGCACAACGGTACATAGAAGAATACCATGGCCACCGTCGCCACTGTGCTACCATCTCTATTGTTACCTTAAAATAGCCTAATGATGATGCATCAAGCAGCAGAGAGAGCTCCAGGGGGAGCCCTCACAGGAGTCCTGACGTTTTTATTTTTCCATTTTCTTTTTTTTCCCAGTTACATACAGCGGAGAGAAAAGGTCTACACACCCCTGTTAAAATGCCAGGTTCCTTATGATGTAAAATAATGAGACAAAGACAAATCATGTCAGAACTTTTTCCACCCTTAATGTGACCGATAATGTGAACAATTCAATTGAAAAATAAAAACCCTCAAATAACCTGGTTGCATAAGTGTGCACACCCTTAGACTAAAACTTTGTTGAAGCACCTTTTGATTTTATTACAGCAGTCAGTCTTTTTGGAGTCTATTAGCATGGCACATCTTGACGTGGCAATATTTGCCCACTCTTCTTTGCAAAAGCGCTCCAAATCTGTCAAATTGCGAGGACATCGCCTGTGCACAGCCCTCTTCAGATCACCCCACAGATGTTCAATTGGAGTCAGGTCTGGGCTCTGGCTGGGCCATTCCAAAACATTGATCTTCTTCTGGTGAAGCCATGCTTTTGTGGATTTGGATGTGTGCTTTAGGTCGTTGTCGTGCTGAAAGGTGAACTTCCTCTTCAGCTTCAGCTTTCTTACCAACACCTGAAGGTTTTGTGCCAAAATTGCCTGGTATTTGGAACTGTTCATAATTCCCTCCACCCTGACTAAGGCCCCGGTTCCAGCTGAAGAAAAACAGCCCCAAAGCATGATGCTGCCACCACCATGCTTCACTGTGGGTATGTTGTTCCTCGGGTGATGTGTAGTGTTGTTTTTGCGCCAAACATACCTTTTGGAATTATGGCAAAAAAGTTCTACCTTGGTTTCATCAGACCATAACACATTTTCCCACATGCTTTTGGGGGACTTTTGGTTTGTTTTTGCAAACTTCAGCCATGCTTGGATGTTTTTCTTTGTAAGAAAAGGCTTCCGTCTTGCCACCCTACCCCATAGCCCATTCATATGAAGAATACGGGAGATAGTTGTCACATGTACCACATGTACCACACAGCCAGTACTTGCCAGAAATTCCTGCTGTTCCTTCAATGTTGCTGTAGGCCTCTTGGAAGCCTCCCTAATCAGTTTTCTTTTCGTCTTTTCATCAATTTTGGAGGGACGTCCAGTTCTTGGTAAAGTCACAGTTGTGCTATATTTTCTCCACTTCATGATGACTCTCTTCACTGTGTTATATGGTATATCTAATGCTTTGGAAATTCTTTTGTACCCGTCTCCTGACTTGTGTCTTTCAACAATGAGATCTCTCTGATGCTTTGAAAGCTCTCTGCGCACGGCTTTTGACCGGAGATTCAACTACGAAAATATCAGGAAAATCCTACTAGAACAGCTGAACTTTATTTGTGATTAATCAGAGTCACTTTAAATGATGGCAGGTGTGTAATGACTTCTAGTTAACCTGCGTTTGAATGTGATTGGTTAATTCTGAACACAGCCACATCCACAGTTATAAGAGGGTGTGCACACTTATGCAACCAGGTTATTGTAAGGTTTTTATTTTTCATTTTTCCCCCTCGAAGATTTCAGTTTGTTTTTCTATTGAATTGTTCACATTATAAGTCACATTAAAGGTGGAAAAAGTTCTGATATGATATGACACATATTTGTCTCATTATTTTACATCATAAGAACCTGGCATTTTAACAGGGGTGTGTAGACTTTTTCTATCCACTGTATTGCTGTTTTTTAATACTAACAAATAATTACATCTTAAAAATCCTCAACAAGAAGAATGCTACATGATGTTAGACAAGTTTGTACCAAGCGCAGTTCAATCTCATTTCTAGATAAAAAAGGGGGGGAGGCTATTTTAGTAGTTTTATTTTTTTAACCAGCCTTTTAGAGAAACGCTAAAGCTGCAACTGGTTAAATGTGTCATCTACAGCTGGCATTTAAACTTTCAGTCAACTTTTTACAGATTTGCAGTTGTTGCTATTTAAATGAAGTATAAATGTATTGACCCCGCGACCCTGTACGCAGGATAAGCGGTTGACGATGGATGGATGGATGGATGGATGGATGGATAAATGTATTGAAGATAATGATGAAGGTTTTGTTATTATCCCCTCTGCTTGTTTCCCCTCTCCTCCTGCACTCCCTCCTCAGTTTCCAGGTGGCGTAGTTCCCTGTCCAGCCCCTCCCCCTCCTCATCCCCCGGCCCTCCTCTGAGTCGAGTGGCCGGAGTGTCGCCTATCAGTCCTTCCCCTTCAGCCAAACCCTGCGCCACAACCCAGTCGTCTGAAAGACATGGTAACCAGACAGCACAAGTTTGCACACATTTCTAGTGTGTGTTGAGTCTTTACCTCAAAAACTTTTACCTCCACAGCAGCTGTGACACTTACTCATACTATTACTCAAATTTTATTTCTGCTAAAACTTTCTCTTTTCACCCCTCCTCCCTTCCTCCCTCAGCCCCATCCCTATCCTCCCCGCTCCACCCGGTCCTCCATCGGACGCTGAGTCCAGTAGGGAAGGAGCTCTCCCCTGTAGCTGAGAGGACTCCCACGTTCTTCCCTCACAGCCGCAGTAAGCCTCAGTGCTGCTTCTCTGTTCCTGCTTTTCTTGCCCCATAGGGAACATAACATAACTGAATAGTCTGTGCTTTTAGTAATCAGAATATTGATGTGCAGGTGAAGACACTCGGTGTGAAACTGGGTCAGCCACAAGCTTTTCAGATTTTATTTCAGTTCTCATGTAAGTCCTGAGAATACGATGTTACAGTTTCACTGCTGCTTCAAGCTACGTTTCAGTTGCGGGAATAAATGTGTGCCAGCCTGTTGTGCATTATTTGTGATGGAAAAAAAATATGTTCCAGACACAGCAGAGAGCAAAGCTGCAGGGAACAAGAGAGGCTACACGTAGCAGATGAAACTAACAGCCACAGGGGCGCACTGGTGGCTTTGTATTTTTTTGTTGTTTTTTTTTGCCCAAGGCCCAGTCCCATGACCGTGATAGCCCAAACAGCAACGTGGCAAAGGCAGGGCCTACTCTTTAGCTTTCTGGATCTCTTTAGTTATGCTCTGTCTGTTGTTCTAAATATAAACTCACTTACATCTGTCTGCCTCATTTGTGTATCACCAATATGATGATGTGTTAGTCAGAGCCATAACTAGTCCAAATTCCACCAACCAAACTGTGTAAATTTTTTTAAAAATCACACAAATTCTGTGAATCATTTTAATAACTGTTCAATTTTATTTTCTTGAAATTTTATCACATTGCATTGTTGTCGAAATGTTTCAAAGCGTTATTTAGACAGTTTGGGGGGGGGGGGGGGTTTGGCCAAAGCAGTCACTTTTAAGATATTTAGTCTTCATACAAAGTTCTTGCGCTGCAGAAATTTTTGGTCCATAGCTGAAGGTAATAGAATGTGAAGCCTGAGGGATTTAGGACCAAAATGTTGTAAATACAGTGAGTGCAAGTGATTGACAAGATATTTAGTCTAAAACATGTCATAATCCGCCTACAACCGTATTATGTGTGCAGTCGAAAAATATAAAGTCCCCTTCAGGCCATTAAACCCCTCAAAGTCCCAAAAATGCTACAGAGGATGTGTCCTTTGTCCTCAATGGTAGATACTACTCTGATGCTTATTAACTCAAAAATTGTTAATTATCTCCAAAATATTAATTCCTCCTTCCAGCAACTCGTCTTTTCTGAAACTACTTCCAGATTAGAATAATCAAAAGACTGTGCTAGAAAGCGTTTTAATACTGTATAGACTATTTCTTCAGTGGAAAGTGAACATTCAATAGCGTGAAGTGAAAAAATATGTTGGTTTCTAAAGTTACCTAAAAAGGCTAATAAACGGTTTTGAAATCTTGGTGTGAGTGCAGACGCAAGAGCAAAATGTGATAAAAGGAATTAAGAATAATACAACTGATGGAAGGGATTAATTTAGAGAGCAGTCATAGAATATCATTAACCCCGGGAGAGGTTGTTATAACCTCTCTGATAATATTTCTGCCTCACTGGTGTTTAATAGACTCTAATTCTAAGAGCTAAGTATCCATTCGTTTGGATCCTTCGTCTTTATGTAGAGGACACTCGGAAGACTCGAAGGTGCTTTTCTTTCTCTTTTTTCTTTCTAAGCTACCAAAACTGCCTCAGTTGTAAAACACTGTGTCATAAACAAGCTAGAAAGGTAAGATGAGATCAAGGAAAACTGTTTTCTCATACTGGTTGTCTGTCCGTTAAAGGCCGCAGCCTCCAGTGCTCCGCCCTCAGTCCCCAGTCATCCATGGATAGCGACCTCGGTGCTTCAGAGGTGGAGGACGACTCCATCACTCTGGGATACAAACTGCAAGACCTCACGGACGTCCAGGTCATGGCCCGACTGCAGGAGGAGAGTAAGTGATTGATTCGGCTTAAGATTCAAACAGACACACAACGCTAGGCAGGAAAACATGCAGTTTGGCTTGGCCCACTGAGATTTTAACATGCCTAATGATGGTGTTTCTGTCACCAGAACAGCTGTTGCTCTGAGAAATAGTATATAATTAAAACTCCAAATTGCAGGGAATGTGGCCCGCTGCACAGTGGCTGTATTGTTTATTTTAGATCACTGGTTCCCAAACTAGGGAATGACATGGTGGATGGACATGGTCAGCAACAATACTCAGGTAGGCTGTGGCGTTTAAAAGATGCTCAGTTGGTACCAAGGGTCCCAAAGTGTGCCAAAAAAATATTTCCCACACCATTACACCACCACCAGCAGCCTGAACCACTGATAGAAGGCAGGATGGATCCATGCTTTCGTGTTGTTTACGCCAAATTCTGAACCTACCATCTGAATGTTGCAGCTGAAATCGAGACTCATCAGACCAGGCCACGTTTTTCAATGTTCTGTTGTCCAGAGGCCTGTACCACGAAGCAGGATTTGAGCTTATCCAGGTAACCTTGGGGTTAACCCTGGGTTTTCAGTACCACGAAGGTGGTTCACTTCTTACCGGGGTAGATCGCCATGGTAAATTATGCTGAACGGCTAACCTGCTCCGGAGCAGGTTATGTTCCACATAAGAGATTAACTCTATGAAAACGCCGCCTACTAACCAATCAGCTCTCTTGGAAAATGACATCACCATCTGTAGGGAATCCCACAGACTGTTTTAGCCAATAGGCTGCTTTATGTTTGTACCGGTGATGTGGAGAAACTCTTGACTATAGCGATAGGAGACTGATTAAAAGCCTTAGGCTATTGCTGCCTACAGGTTTTTACAGTAGGCTACAGCAGGATAAGCCTACTAACTGCTTTCAAATGTGTTTGATATTTTTTCATTTGCTCCCAGTCCGTTTCACACAGCCTGATGCAGCCGTTAAAATAAATTAGTTTTATTTGTCTTATGGGAGGCTGAATATTATGAGCAGTTTGGTAGGGATTTTGAAATACTAAATTTTAATATGAACGTAGGCTATCTATTTTAGGTTGGTATAGCTTTCTTATAGGCCTACTACAGAGACTGTAGTCTTGTGGGTGAGGGACGGTGAGTTTCCAGTCGCCTAAATGTTGAGATTCAGTCTTTCAGCCACTATTTGAGCACATTTTATGGCATGAATGGAGTTTGTTTCATTGCTTTATGAAGTTAATTTAAAACAATGTTTGGAACACTTTTGGGTGTGTTAAATTAATCTTATTTTTGAAGAGACGACAAGTTTTTTTTTAAATGAGGTGGAACGGCCTGTGTCTTTTAATGTGGAAACGCCGACACACAGCTGAGCTGAAAGAATAAGGCTGAGGAGATTTTCATACAGCTCATAAGAACACATCAAATCAATGCAATATTATAGACTACGCCTGTTCATTTAGACATTCAGACTGTCTCCCTGCATGTCAATATCAATTTTATTTATATTCAATTCAATTCAATTTTATTTATATAGCACCAAATCACAACAACAGTTATCTCACAGCGCTTTTCATAAAAGAGCAGGTCTAGACCGTACTCTGTGATGTTATTTACAGAAGCCCAACAGTTCCCACCAAGAGCAAGCACTAGGCGACAGAGGCAAGGAAAAACTTCCTTTTAAGAGGCAGAAACCTCGAGCAGAACCATGGCTCAGGGTGGGCGGCCATCTGCCTCGACCGGTTGGGGTGAGAGAGCACACTTAAAGCAACCAAGGTTGGCCAAGGTGCTTCACAGGTTAAATACAACAACAAGACACTACTCACACAGTAAAAGTACAGCAATAAAACATAATATACAGTATACGATATATAAATATATATAGTGATATTAAAACTGCCAGGAATAATAACAGACTTAACTTGAAGGATATGCCAAAGAAAAGAGATGCGTTTTTAACAGTGATTTAAAACGTTCGAGAGTTGGGGCGGTTCTGATATGGACTGGCAGGTTGTTCCACAGGTTAGGGGCAGCTACACTAAAGGCTCGATCGCCTCTGGTTTTAAGTCTGCTTCTGGGTACATCCAGGAGGAGGAGAATGGTGGATCTCAGCACTCTAGCTGCAGTATGAATGTGAAGAAGCTCCGTTAAGTACAATGGAGCCAATCCATTAAGGCATTTAAAAGTAAGATTTTAAAATCAATCCTGTAATCAACAGGAAGCCAGTGGAGGGAGCGCAACACAGGTGTGATGTGGTCCCTCTCCTTCTTTCCTGTCAGGAGGCAGGCAGCAGCATTTTGGACTAACTGCAGGCGCTGAATCGATGACTTGTCTAAGCCCACATATAAGGAGTTGCAATAGTCAAGGCGGGAAGTCATGAAGGCATTACTCGCCCTCTCCAAATCTTTAGAGGGAGATAGGTCTTTACCTTGGCTATAGTTCTCAACTGGAAAAAGCAGGATCTAACAGTGGTGGATATCTGTTTATCAAATTTAAACGCACAACACCAAGACTCCTCACTGTTGAGCGGCTGTTTGAAGTTAAAGGGCCAAGTGAATCTACAACAAGCAGTTCAGGGTGTCCAAACACTATGATCTGTCTCCGTTTAGGTTGAGGAAATTTAGGTTCATCCACGTTTTGATGTCCTTCATACAGTCAAGCAGGGGCTGCATTGAGCCCTTTGCTTTTACATTCAGGGGCAAATAAATTTGAATATCGTCTGCAAAACAGTGGAAAGAGACCTCATACCTCTCAAAAATGGAGGCCAGGGGCAGCATATACAAAGAAAATAAGACGGGTCCTAAGACAGAACCTTGAGGGACACCACAGGTAAATGGGGCTGTCTCAGAGGAATAGTCACCGAGGTGGACAGAGAAGCTCCTATCGGTTAGATAGGATTGAAACCACCTAAGTGCAGTACCTTTGATTCCCACACAATTTTCCAACCGTGACAAGAGGATTGAGTGGTCAACCGTGTCAAAGGCAGCAGTGAGGTCTAAGAGCACTAGGACGGCAGAGACTCCTGAGTCAACAGTTAAAATCAAGTCATTAAAAACTCTGAAAGTGCCGTTTCAGTGCTGTGACGGGGTTTGAAGCCGGATTGGAACTTTTCATAAACATTATTATTAATTAAAAATGTTTGCAGCTGGGTAAAAACTACTTTCTCCAGGACTTTAGATAAGAAACACAGTTTAGAGATGGGCCTGAAGTCAGAGAGAACAGAGGGGTCAAGATTTTCCTTTTTTAGCAAGGGCTTAAAGGCGGACAGAACATGACCAGAGACAAGACAGGTATTCTATCAATGACAAAATACATGGTCCAACGGTATCAAAGACTTTCAATGTAGGTGTAATAGTAGCAGAGTTTCAGGATTTGTAATGGTGTTAAACATATTAAAAAGAACCTGTGGCCTGTGACAGTTGTTGGCAACCAGCTTAGAAATAAAATCAGATTTTGCAGATTTTATAGCTCTCTGATGGTCAGAGAGATATTGCAGTAGGATTTCATATGACACTCTGAGTTTATCTTTCTTCCACCTTCTCTCAGCTTGCCGACATGCACGTCTGATCACACGGGTGGGGTCATTTAACCAGGGCATGTGTCAGCTGCAGGCGCGTTACTGTCATTTCTGTAGTGTTACAGTTTAATCCTCATTCATAAAATATGACGCTCTGCTGCCAGTAGACTTGTTCATGTCTGTGATTGGTCATCTGCTGCTAACACCGCCTCTTTTATGTGAAAGCGCTCCTGGCTGAATTGGGGAAACCCTGGGTTGACTTACCGAGTTGATAACCAACTTCGTGGTACCGCTTATCCTGATCGCGATTGTTAGGATTAGTTAAGCCAGATAATGAAAACATATCCTGGGTATGTTGAACTTGCTTTGTGATACAGGCTCCAGTTTTGGTGAGCCTGTGTGAATTGGTTCATTCTTTGCTTATTATTTGAGTTACTGTTGCCTTTCTTTCATCTCCAACCAGTCTGCCCATTCTCCTCTGACATCAACAAGGCATTTTCATCCACACACCTGCCTCTCACTGGATATTTTCGCTGTTTCGGACCATTCTCTGTAAACCCTAGAGATGGTTGTGTGTAAAAAATCATAGTAGATCAGCAGTTTCTGAAATACTCACAGCAGTCCGTCTGGCACCAACAACCATTCCACGTTCAAAGTCACTTAACTCCCCTTTCTTCCACATTCTGATGCTCTGTTTGAACTTCAACATGTTGTCTTGACCACGTCTACATGCCTAAATGCATTAAATTGCTGCAATTTGGCACGTGGCAGCAATTTAATGCATTTAGCTATTTGTGCTAACAAGCAATTGAACAGGTGTACCTAATAATAAAGTGAGTATATCTAATCAAAGACTATAAACCAGAGGTGGGACTAAGACATTGTTTTACAAGTCAAGTCATAATGTGCCCTTGATCAAATTTAATACCAATTTATATTTTAAAAATATATTTAAAATGAAAAAAGGTGTATTAAAAAAAAGCGTTAACCTGTACAGAAAAAAGGCAGAGGCCCAGTAATTATTTCATGAATTAAATGAAGTGCTGTATATATTGTGTGTGTGTGTGTGTGTGTGTGTGTGTGTGTGTGTGTGTGTATATATATATATATACACACCTGTGTATCACTGTGTGCCAAATCATTTCTTCTGATGTCCATCTGTCTCTCTTGTTCCCTCCTCTCTAATATTTTAACATATGTCACCAGATCTCAGAGCTCATCGGTACTTCAGCTTCATTAACCCCAGGAGGTGATGATTGTGTGTGTGTGTGTGTGTGTGTGTGTGTGTGTGTGTGTGTGTGTGTGTGTGTTGCACGCTGGTCCTCATATCTTGCTCCCCCAGGTCTAAGGCAGGACTACGCCAGCACGTCATCCATCCTGGCCAGCCGCCGCAGCCAGAGCTTCACCTTCCAGCTCAGCCAGCTCAGCGCCGGCCCCGACCTGGAGGAGGAAGACGAGGAGGACGACGAAGACTACGGCCTCCTGCCCCCCCCGCAGCCACGCCTCACCCGCCTGCCACACTCCCACACTTTCTCCAGCATCCGAGACTGGCGAAGAAGCACAAGTTCCCTCTCCACCCCTCCTTCCACCCCCTCAACTCCTCCGTACCTTTCCGCTGGGTTCGCCTTTCAACATCAGCCCCAGGGACTGGGACTGGGTGTGGGCAGCCCCTGCGCAGCCGAGCAGCAGGGCTTCAGACCAGGATCAGGTGAAAAAAGATATTTTCAACATTCTCTCTTGCAGTTCTGTGCAGATTCTGTTTGTCTTACTGGAGTCGAGGTGAAAAGAAACCTTCACCTAAGCTGCACTTACATGAACAGTAAATCAAATTTTACAGCCCACAACTTTACTGTTTCACTCTCAGAACTCTCAATTACACCATTCTCAGACGCTGCAGGCAGCTGTTTTCACCCACTGTAGTCTGTCTGTGCAGCACCAAATGGCAGATGACCAATGTTAGCAACTAGCTGGTGTAGCATTTAGCAGCGGAAGAGCCAGATATTCCCCTCAGCAGATGGTGGAGACCAAAACAGAGCTAAAAGGAGACTGAGTATTGCATTCATCAGGTGGCGAAAAACACTACTCCAAATGAGCAAATTTGGTTCACCGACAACTTGACAACTGTTTGTCAGAGGTAGAACAAATGTCAGTGTGTACTATTTTCAAACATTGATATGAATGTGAACAACCGGTACATGTGTTAAGTAATACAAGGTCAAACATTTCATAGATAATCAACAAAATAATAAAAGACAATGGTTGTAGGACATTTTTTAGCCTTTGCCTTAGAGGTAGGATGTTTGGACTGCTCCTTAATTAAAGGAGGTAGCTTATGGTACCAGCATGTAGAAAGGAATCCATATCTCATCTAAATATCATAATGTTTTTCATTGTATTTACAGTTTGTTCCGCTGCCCTAAAGTGGCCAAAAACTTCCATAAAGTTGGGGGACTCACCAGATAGAGCCATTAATGGTCAAAATCAATAGCAATATCCAAAAACCATGGATCCTATACTTCTCATACTGCAACTCGTGACGTCTTCGGCTGTCCCTTTTTAATTTTTAGTGTCATAAAATTGTAGAAACATGCTACCATAGACCTAGCTAACTATATCCCAATGTGACTGCTGTCAATAGTACTAATCAGTTATCTGTTTGTTTGTTTTTTATATGTTTTGTACGTGAACTATTTGTTTGTATTTGTATATACGTGTATGCCGTTGGGCGTATTGTTTTGGGGGAAACTTCATCATGGCGTCCAGCCGAATATGAGAGTAAGTCGACACGGTTTTCCTCTTAAAATACAATTTAATACTTCTAACCTCCATAAACACTGAATATTTGTTAGTGATTACAATCCTACTTTTCTGTGATTTCACACAATATGAAAATGTCTATGATAAACCCATTCATTCAGTACTTTTGATGATTCTGGTCATGTGTCGCCGCCCCGGACTGACCCACACCGTGTCCTAACCACTTAATAATAACCATCTAAGCCTCTTGTACAACTGCTGTTAAAGCTCTCAGACAGGCGTGCGTTTCCGTTCCAAAGATGAGAGAGAGTTTGATGGGATTAGAGTTGGGAGTGTATATCTGACTGAGGGGGCTGGAAACTGTTGTACAATGAAGACGATCACGACTAGCTTTATGTGCCGTCTTAAGGGATGTAATACAAGAATAGGCATAACCAACAGCTCACACTGTATTATAATGTATATATAATAGTATGTTGTATTTATGTGTTGCCAGTAAGACGGGTCTATTTTTACATTAAAATCTGCCCTAGTGCATCTTTTAACTTATTTACATTTGTGTGGGTCTATCTATCTCAGATAAGCTGCGGAGGAGCATGCCTAACCTTGTCAGAGCTCCCAGCATGCCTAGTGTGCCCATTCCAACCAATCCTAGTGCTTCCCATTCTTTGCTTCGTAACAGCCAGAGTTTTGATTCGTCCAGTGGGCTGGCTCGACTGCACTCCTCCAGTAAGATACCAGTTCTCTTGTTTTTATTTTGTTTTGGTTCATTATGAATTAACACATGCAGAAGGATCAATTCACTAATTCTAGCTTTCTTTTCTGTTATCCCCGCCCACCTGCAGTCCCCTCCCCAGGTCAGCTGCAGAACAGGGTCCACAGCGTCGGGAATTTCGCCTCGTTGTCGCGGCAACCATTGAAGGCCACCGCCTACGTCAGTCCCACCATCAAGGGCTCGCCCTCAATGCAGACCTCCAACAGCCTCCAGTCTCTGAACAGCGGCAACAGCGGGGATAACAACGGGGTCGGCAGTGGCATCCCACTGCCCAGTAAACCGGCTGGCGGGGGGGGGATGCCCACTTCCACCCCAAACACTCCCCGCAGCAGCCTGCCTCGCCCCGCCTCCTTTGTTGGCACCACAAGCTCCACCCCCCGCAGCAAGGTGGCCCAACCAGCACGAAGGTAAATCCGTTTTATGACATTATTATTATTATTATTATAATATTATTACATACATATTTTAAAGTGTTCCAATTGGAGAATTAAATACTTTCTCAGTAGGCCTAGATTGTTAGCCATGCTAGCAACATGGCTGTATGTATGGGCCTTGTCAATGGGTCCACCACTTTGGTCCAGACTGAATTATCTCAACAACTATAATATGGATAAGATGGATTGCTATGACATGTGATACATATATCTATTGTTGTCAGCGTTGGAATCCCACTGACCTTTATTCCAGTGCACTTATCCTGTGAAATATCTCAACATCAACCGCATATATTGGCACATCATTTTGTTCATACATTCATGGCTCCCTGACCGTTCCGCTAGCGCCACCATGAGGTTAACATTTATGGTTTTCTGTGAAATGTCTCAACAAATATTGGATAGATGGCCACATGGTATACATGTTAATGTCTCCTTCATGATGAATTTTAACTTTGGTGATCCTTTAACTTTTCTTCCAGCAACATCATCAGGTCAAACGTTGTCCAATACGTTTATTTTTACCAAATACTTACAAAACTAATGACATTCCCACCAACTTCAGCTGTGTTTAGTGCTAATTAGCAAATGTTAGCATGCTAACATGCTAAACTAAGGTGCTGACCATGGTAAACATTATACCTGCTAGCATTGCCATTGTTAGTCATGTCGCCATGCTTGTGTTGAGTTTGAATACAGCTTCACAGAACTGCTAGGGTTCAGGTTTCAGTTAAAACGAGCACTGGTGTGTTTGCCCGGTTCGGTATGGTTCTTTCGGGCTGGTGTGCTGTGAAGCTGTGAAATGAATTCTGGTGCGGACCAAACCACTGCACCGAGACAACCTGAAAAAGTGGATTTCTGGTGCGGTTTGCTTGTGACGTGAAACAATCCAACCAAACAGCTGAACTGTCAATAAATCCATTTGCTGCTCATGAAATGTGTTCAGGAAGCGAAGAAAGTGTCCAAAGTAAGGGATTATTTCAAGCTAAAGAAAACAAAACCTCTGTAATGTTACCGTCCGTCCATCGTAAAAAGAAACTTATGTTGCCTCAGCAATAGCACGACGGCACCTGAACAAAAAGCAGCCGGTGTTTTGCCAGCGGACCACAGACAAGGTAACAATAACAGCAACTTTAGCATTTAACTGAAATCATGATTGATTGTTGAGTTGAAGGCTAGCCAAAGTAAGCCGCAGAACTGAAGCTGAAACAAGAAGCTGAAAATGTGCACACGTGCGTTTGTTGTTCTCCTTTTTGGGCCGTGAGTTGTAACCTCACAGTCATGAGATAACTGGGTGTCAGGGAGCTGCACCTTTTTAACTCTCCTCCAGGTCTCTCTGTAGCTGTAGCTTGTGCTAATCCATCCTTTCACCCATATTTGTATTTATAATTGCCATCTTTATAATAACAAACAACAGCTGTTTCGTGTGCAGGATCGCTCCTGTCCCGTGTCACATTTCACGTGTTTTCTTGACAAAACGTCGTTTGGAGACCAGCATCGGGTGACACATCTGCTGTCAGCTCCTGTAGTATGTGTGTCCCTGTCACCGATCAGTCACATAGTATGAACGCCACAACGACTTCAAGACTGCCGTCATATGACGGCAAGTTGTATGAACGGCACAGCCATCGGCTGACGCTGAAAGTCTGCACGAGCCTTTAGTAGAACTTGGATAGCACTCGGGTGATGTTTGTGTTTGTAAAGCAGCTGTGTAGTTGTTGTTCTGATGTTTGCTGTATGACACACTATAAACGTGCACAGCTGATTGGAGGGGGGGTGCCGCTGCCACCAAGCAAAAGTACTTCTTAAATGACGCATCGATGAATCGTTGAAATATCTATCGAAGCTTCGAATACTAAAATCATCGTTAGCTGCAGCCCTAGTAAAATATATACAGTTATAGTGTAGAAAATAATGCCGTTGAATGACGTCACTTCTGACAAACTGTACCCTATTCTCCCCTAAACACCAGTCACGTTCTGAAATCTTCAGAACCAAATATATTTTTCTATTTCATTAATTAATAACAATTCTATCTAAAACAACATGGTACTGGCTCGGACAACCATGTATATTTGATTGTACTCTGCATGGAGTAATGGAATTAACAACTTTTCTTAATACCGATATCGGCATTGTATATCGGCCATCAGCCACCCTGCATCTGAATATCGGCGTCGGCCATTGAAAAATCAGTCGACCACTACATTGTTACATTATTTATGCAAATCATTTGGCAACCACGTATGCATGTCAGCGCAGGGTATTTTCCATGACTAATAAGTTAAAAGCAGTTTAAAAATGCTGTGCCCCCAATCATTACTGTACAAGACGCCTCCTTTTTGTCCTCTACATCAGCATTCATAGCATGCAGTCAATCTGCAGTCTAATAATCCTAATAATGGCTATAATCATGTATTTCTTCATGAGCTCTTTGTGAGACCAAAGAACATAAATATACACATCAGAAGCATTAAAGATATATATAATAATATATAATATTATTGAATCTTAGTTCTTGTCCTGTTCAAGTTCACACTGACTTTTTACAATTGAAACAAGAGGAGTAAACATGACTGAGAGGGAACTTGCTTATTGGACAGTTTTGTTATCCTGCATCATCAGAACATCACCAGGTCCCACGTGGGGGAATCAAATTCCAGGGAGGATGTTTAAAGTAGTCATTAGTCAAAGGAGTGTAACAAAACAATTTTAAGAACTGCCAACTAATGTTCCATATTCACATTTGTTTTGCACTCCATTGCTTTTACAAATCATGTCTTAAATTTCCCAGTGTCTAATCTTAATTAGCAGCCTGTCTGTTATTTACATCTGTAGTCTTGATAAGTGCCACTGAATTAGTAGGCTTAGTAAATATACCCTTCTCTGCCTTATAAGATGATTTTGCCATTCTTTTATTTTCCTCAGTTTACTGACGCCTCCAAAGAGCTTGTCCACCCTCAGTGCCCTTCGTGACAGCAACTGGAGAGACGGCTGCTACTGATGAATGGATGAGCTGGCGCAGTAGCGCAGTGGCACCCCGCTGGCTGGGGTAACTCGCTACACCTCAACATAAAAGGTTTTCCAAGGGGACATTTGAATGGGTTTGACCAAAAATGAACTGTTAAGTTGACCTTAAATCTGAGATCCTGCATTGAATAGTTCACTGTCATCCCAAAGGGACTACAGCTGAACTGATCTCTCCTGTCATCCATTCAGTTCTATGCAGAATTTCTTCGGGGAAGGTGGGTTGTTGGTCCGTGCCAAGGGGGAGTCATTCCCTGTTGCTCTTGTGCAATAAACCATTGTGACTGTAGGGTACCATTAATACTAACCTGCTAAAGAGGGCTGCCAGTTTTTATGAAAAGAGCATCACAATACTGTATGTATTTATTTATTTATATATTTATTTTGAATAAAAGTTTTTTTGACTAATCAGGTGTTTTCTCTCTGGCAACAAGCGCCAATGATGCTGCTAAAATTGAGTGAGTCCCTGTTAGTTTGGGCACATTTGGTAAGATTTTTTACAGGCAAGATATTTAAGTATCTGTGTACAAAGCTAACTACTAAGTGTGCATACATATATATATTGATGCAATATTGTTGAATTTTAAATGGGAATCTTGACCAAAATGAAAATGTCTGAATGTGTTTACAAAATTGTCTCACTATGGCGTCACAAAACTTTGTGAATATTAACACTTCAAAATTGTTTAATGACCTGTAAGAGATCTGTTCTTGTTGCACTTTGTATAAATCTCTGAACTTACTGATATTTTTATGTTCTGTTTACTAATGTTTGCACTTCTTTTACATTTGATCTTCTGGATTTCGGGGAAACAATGTTAATTCAATGTTTTGGGGAGATTTCACAGTTCCACACGGCATAATGTAGCACCCTTTGTTTGTAATATTGGACTTGTGTTTTTAATTAACAGTGACCATGGCACATTTCACACAAACCCAACACTTTTGTTACTGTGATTGACTGAATGAGTGAAGCATTTTAATAAAACACACCAAACTAAAGATGTCTTTTTCCTTTTCTTTGTTGAATATAAACATGTGACTTTTAACCAGTAATGCAGTTATACACTGCCTTCATTTTGAATACCTTTCTTTAATAATGCAAACTGGATTTAACATGCTGTCATTAGATGCAATATGCTGTGGTAATGGCATCACAGAAAGGTTGGTTGTTGACATTTAAATGTTGCCACCTAGTGGTAGAATTTCAAATAGCTGTTTGATTTTAAGTCATGTTCATGGACTGCATGAAATATTGACTGATTGCACAAAAAGGGAGCAATTTAACATTGAAAATATAATATAGATAAATATGTTGAATGTCAACAGTTTTAACCTGAAGTAAAATATATGTATAATCTACACAAACAATTGTAACATATTTTAACACTTTGCTATACTGCCATCTCTTGAGATTGTTTCTGAATGCAGGACAACAGCAGGTCCATTAGAACTGAAGTGGGTGTCCTGCAGTTTAAAGCTTTTGAGTCCGATCCTGATTCAGTGACTTTTAAAAACCCCTCACCCAGAGGAAAGATTGACGAGCTTTGAGTGAAACTATTCAGCCAGTTTGAGTCATTTGTTCAGTCAGCTATGCGCTGATGTCAAGACTTCAAGGTTCTGGGTTCAAACTTGAGTCTGACAGAGTTTTGAACTTAACATCTCTAATGGATCAAACAAACCTGACTTCATACAAAGCCGATGATGAGCTGCTACCATTTCAATTATTGGAGCGACTCAGTGTTGTTTTGATCTCCACTTCACAAATGTTATTAGCTGCGTTTGACTTCATGTGATGCATGCTGGACTTAAAATAAGGTATGCTGGTTAGAAATTGTGTCCGACTTTCGCCGGCGCTGCAAAACGTCACCATGTCACATGAAATTAAAACCTCGAGGGAGCAAGGCGGCTGAAGGCGCCGAGTCCGGCGGCCGCAGTTGCTTTTCCCCGGCTGCATCTCAGCTCACAGTAAGCTCACGCAGGTAGAATGTGTCCGACTTGACGGCGCCGTTTTTATTCCCCGCCTCTGCAGTCACCTGCAGCTCACGTTAGACTATCAAGTCGGCGAAAGTCAGCCGCCGTCATCTCGAACGCACCTATTGTCTTTAAAGACATCAGCAGAGCATATATATTGCCCCCTATAGGCTGCTCTGGTTCAGTGAGTATGTACTGATAATTGTCCAATCTTCTTTGTCTAACATTCACCTGCAGCTAGTGATGGCCAAATGGCGCTTTCCTAATTTTCACTCCACTTTACTTGGGCCTACTGGTAGCCTACTCTCTATGCTCAAATAGTATACGTTCATCTATAGGCCTATCTGTGACAGTTTTGTGCATTTCAAAATGTATTTATATACATAGCCTACTTGAGCAGTTGCCCTAGAAAAATCACAGAAAACTACAATTTCACCTAATTTTAATGTATATTTCCCTACAACAAGGCAATGACGAAATGAAATTAGTAAGCCAGTTTAACACAAACATGGCATGCACTGCTAAGTGATTCAGTTATGAGTCAGGGTTGGCTCTGTTGCACAATTGTGTCGAAATTAGTTCAGTACTCGAGCTTCATTCAGAAATCACAGCACCATCTGCTGGTGAAGATGTAGCCTAATGCAACAAAGCTGACAACCACAAAATGCAATTTCTGCTAATACGTTAATACCAAACCCAGAGTAAAATTTATTGCACCCCTTGGTTACGCTTTTACAGCTCAGGAGAAAAATTGCGATCCTCATTTCAGCCTTAATTTTAGTGTTGTAGTTACGACCTGTTTCTCATATTTTGGTCCTAAAATTCACTAGGAGAAATGGGTGAGGCAAAGCAATTAGCAGGTAGGAATCATAACTGAGACTTGATGGCGATACCTTGCTCTGTCTCATTAATGGTAAATGTTTTCTCTTTGACAAAACCCCAGACTTACTACTTGAAGGGCAACAACTCTGCCACTTCACCATCTAAATGCAAGATGATCAAGTGATTGGCTTTAAATACAGTACACTTTCCCTTTACGAAAAGTTTAAATACTTAATTACCAAAAACGTCATCAAAATTCTACTCAAGTGAAGGTATACTAGTAGCCTATTCCATAGTGAATGTAGGTATGACGTTGTGTCAAAGTTCTTGCGTGGATTCTGTCCTTAATAAATTAATCTCTAAATATCAGTGGTTGGTGTTCAGTTATGCTGGCTGAACAATCAATAAAAGTGGAAAACATGAAATTTGAAACTGCATTATTTTCAATGTTTTTTTTTATTCAATAACTGAATTTTCTCTACAGTCTTTAGTGACAGGTGATTTTTAAAATGTCTTTTAAACAACTTAAAAACCAGCTTTGACAAATATTCTCTACACAAAACAACAACAATCCAACCACTATATAACCTACAGTTTCTCCATGGTTTGGATTCAGTTTTATGAGAATACTTCCCTCCAAGATTCAAATCTGTCAAACCCGGAGCGACCTGTCAAAGCATTCATGTGTTTCACTACCTGAGTGAACCAGTGTGTTTGCGTCAGACGTCATTTTAACGTCACTAGTCATGTAACGATACAAGCTCCGAAGCAGTGGTTCGTTGAAGGACAGTCAGACGTAACATCACTACCTGCAGCCAGTTACCTGGATGACAATCAACCAATTAACATGATTATTTATGAATACACAAATCTAAGCCAACAAATGTAGTTAGTGCCTGAATAAAGTAGTCAAGCCACTCTCCATCTACTATAGTTGCAAACATGTCCTAAATGTTTTAAAACCTCATTGCAACTTTGTTTCATATATAACATAACATTACAAAATCATGAGCGCAGTGGCTCAATGTTAGATGCCTCTTGTTTGGAGGATGTGGGTTCAATCCTCACTATCAGTCAATTTCAATGTTGGATGTTCAAAAGAAAAAGTGATGCTCTAAAAGAAGGATGGATGAATTCAAACATTTGGGTAACTGCAATTGGAGAACAATGGACGTAAATGTATAAGTGAGTAAGATTGAATGTGTTTGTGTAGTTCTTTCATTGGCTTGTAGATTACATGCATTATCTGCACTGACCTAACCAGAAATTATATTCAGCTATTAGCTAAATTAGCAAATTTTAATTCCACTTGTTCAGCTAAAGCTAACACAGGCCTACATATGCTCAGAGGTTTACTGAGCTGTCTCTCAGTACAAACATCTGGCTTGTTGGTCATTCTTTAAAAATTCACTGTGAAACTCATCTTTAAAATCTTATGTCCAAGTCTGACTCAGACCCATTCAAAGGCAAGATTTGTTTTACTCAAGTTTGTAAGTCAGCAGAAAATGTCAGTCAACAAGCCCAGGGCTAAGTATGTAACCCTTAGAACTGGCTTGAGTCAGTAGTGTTAGAATTAGATTTCAAAGACATCTCATTTGTTAAAAATAAATGATAAACAACCCAACGTTGGTACTGACAGACAGTTCAGGATGATTAACTGGCCTCAGTTAAGCATGTTAGCTTTAGCTGAACAGGTGAATAGTTAAATATAATTTCTGGTAAGTTTAGTGCATATAATGCGTTCAATATACAAACCAATGAAAGACCTACACAAACACATTCAAGCTTACTCATTTATATATTTAAATCCATTATTATCCAATTGCAGTTACCCAAATGTTTGTAGCATGTGCTCCTTATTGCCTCCAGGTGAAAGTGCCAGCTGTCAAACAGGAAGTGGTGGAATCCAATTTGATTTATGCAAGGGGGAACCCAGACTGAACTAAGTGGGGTAGAGTAGAGGGATGTTTGGTTGTTGTAAATAGCAACAGCATCTATTTTTTAATGTTAATACAGAATGTTTTAGCCTGTGTTTCAAATATATCCATTTATATTTTAAACAGGTTGAGAAAATTAATTCACTGAATTCATACAATGGATGGATGACAAAATCCTCTGTTGTCTTTCCATGCAAAATGCATTCCTAAGTTCAAACCGAAGTTAGTATGAGGCTTTATAAGTCTTTAGTGTTAGTCGAAGCCATGGCTGTATTTGAAGCCATG